GAGATCCACAGAGGAGAATAGCTTCAGGTTCCGCACAATCCACCACTTCCTCATTAACTGGCACTTAATGTCTCAGTAACTCAATCTGAGACATTGTGAAGGTGTCAAGGAGGAGAGTGTGTCATCCCCAGAAGATAAAGGAAAGGAGGGAGAAAGCAGAGGGAGAGCAGGAACAGGAGCACCGGAGGGTGAACGCGGCGGCAATGGATAAAAAAAGGAGCGGGAAATTTGAAGTGAGTTTAGCGGAAGAACGTGAGGGTAAGAAAGTGGTGGAGCAAGAGCTGTCGGTTTGGGAGGAAAGTATAAGTAGCCAGGGAGAGCATTGGTCTGAGGTAGAACTGGAGTTGTGGAAGAGAAAGAGAGAGCTGGAGAGTCTGAGGGAATATGAGAGAGTAAAGACTCAGGAGCTGTTGAGGGACTTCCCTAACCTGAAGCTCGGAGGGTTGCTACCGGACCCAGTACTGAAGGAGAGTGGAGAGGTGAAGTACGAGAATCTAGAGTGGTCGGTAGAAGTCTTTCCCAAGAATAAGGGACGTGGGCGGCAGGTGATAAGACCCAATTCGCATTACAACACCCCCCTTCCTGAAGGTGACTGGGCAAGGCACCCATGCTGCGGCACCATTTGCGCAGTACGGAGCGCACCCCTTCAGAAGCCAACAGATGCTGAGAGGTTTGGCCCAGCACCCCCTAAGTGCAATGGAAGGAGGACAAGATTAGGTGTTGGACAGTTAGGCTTGTTGCCAGAATTAAGCTTTTTCAATCCCATCATGAATAATTTTGGTTTACCAGTTGTTAATAAAGACGAAGCTGTCAAAGCTAAGAAGATGTCTCCTGTGGCATTTCCCGCGCAAAGTGAGGAGTTGTCAGAATTTGAAACCGAACCCATTCACAGTAAAAAAAAATGTTTTTCTTTACTTATAATTGCTTGAAATTACAGACTTGTGCATACTGCTTTCTTTATTGCACACATACTAGCAACAACTAAACAGACCAATAATAATTTTTAAAAAATCTACCAAGAACAAACTAAAGAGATGGGTAGAACATTCAGCAGAAATGTGGGGCTCTCTTTGGATTTTGAAAGCTAAACACAACAGCCCAGAAAACTCCCTCCCAGTCATTCAAACTGGAGACCACATGTGAGTCTGTAAAAACTCAAACGGAAGCATAGATTTGAGTACAATGAAAAGGAGAACTGCAGTAAAATTCTTATTTTAGACATGTTATAGATGGGCGATAAACAAACAAACAAACAAATAAACAAATAAATAAATAAATGCATTTGATTAGTCAGAGCAATCAACAAATTGTTACTTTGCATCCATGTTCAGCAAGACTATGATTACTATAAAGAAGTTAGGACACCATGGAGAATTGGCCCTAATAAAGTTCAAAGGCATCAAGGAGAACTGCTTGCATGTACAGTATAAGGGAACTATGGAAACTTGGTAAATATGGGAATGATTGAGGTAGGAGCTTCAAATTGAGAGCAAGAAAGGCTAAGAGTTTAATGCAGCCATTGCTATGTTTAGGACCACAAAGCTTAGGGGAAAAACAGGCTTCAGGGTTGTTTTCTTGGAGAAGATGCCTTCTGCTTTGAGAAACTTAGATTAATATGAGTGGATAGCATTTGGATCTGGAAAAAAAATTGTTCACCTTACGGAACAACCAATTTTATTTCACATATTCGTGAATTATAGGTCACTTAATTACAGGAACTTCTAATATCTCCCCAGCCCTGGCTATACACAGGATTTAAAATAATAAACATAGAATGGTCTAGCAAGAACACAACACACACCATATTTGGGGGGGGGTGTCTTCTTCTGATGGTCCTACTGGTAGAGATTGAGATTGCCATTTGACAAAATGTAAACATGTTTCTTCAATAATTAGCTTTTTAGGATCTGCATGTCTATGGAAGTGCTTTTGTTAAACAATAGAACAATAGCAAAGACGATCAGTTCCTTGTCTCTCCAGCCAACTTGCACAAAAAGGAACAGAGACACTGATAAAAGCAGATACCCAGCACAGTAGTTGATGAGCCTGAATGTCTCTTACTCAAAGGCAGAAATTCTGAGAGATTTGGTATGTTTTCCTTTAGATGCTCCTCTTGGCCAGTCAGACTACCGGTAGATATGTATTGGATCTGAAAGGCAGCATCTGGCACATTTGCAAGACTGAGTAGGGCTGTTAAGACAGGACCTTTTTGGGACCTGATTTGACATTGCATAACAATTACCACATCTAGCATGGGACAGGAAGGAAGGATAATTCTAAAAGAAATAGGTGTGCCACAATATTTAATAGTCCTGATTGTTAAGCTATACTCTGGAAAACTGTTAGGACAGAATCTGGAGGGAAACAAAATGGTTTCACATAGGCTAAGGTGTCAGACAAGGGTGCATTTGATCAATCTATCTGCAATACACATCACATCATACGCTGAATTCGGTTTAGATTAGAAAAAAAATAAAAACCCATGGAAGAAAGCCAGTTATTTAGGACTCACAGATGGCACCACCACAGATGACAACTTAAAATTTCTGATAAAGTAAATCCAAAGGCAGAATAACAGTTGAACATTAAGAAACAAACAAAATAAATAAAGAGTAAGTACAGGAAACCACAGCTTTTAGTTTGCAAGACTTCAGCAGGGCTGTTAATGAGAAGATCTTCTGGAGGTCATTCAGTCAGTTATTTAGGACTCACAGATGGCACCACCACAGATGACAACTTAAAATTTCTGATAAAGTAAATCCAAAGGCAGAATAACAGTTGAACATTAAGAAACAAACAAAATAAATAAAGAGTAAGTACAGGAAACCACAGCTTTTAGTTTGCAAGACTTCAGCAGGGCTGTTAATGAGAAGATCTTCTGGAGGTCATTCAGTCACAAGATTACCATAAATCAGAAGCAACTTGACAGCACAGAACAACAAAGCTTTAAAAAAATAATTTAAATAAAACCCGCTCCTGGTGACACAGAACAACAAAGCTTTAAACAAATAATTTAAATAAAACCCGCTCCTGGTGGAGATAAAAAAATCTAGGACTGGTTGGTTGATAAGAATCGAAACTGTTGCCTGCTAAGGATACTGCCACGAGGGGCATTAACTACTTCTACATGTTAAAATCCACCACTTCAATCCAATTATTTTCTTTACATGATAATACAAAAATATTGGTAAAGGAAAGGAACCTAATTCAGCTTAAGGCCAAGTTCAATTTCAGATAAATCATTTGGGTGAAATTCCAAGGTTGGGCAAGGCCAAGGGTGGTTTTTTTTTGGGGGGGGGGTTTAAACTCTTTTTAGAGTAAAAAAAGGCCAGAATATTTTAGTTTACATTCTTGCTGCTAGTGACTAAGGTTTAGAAAGAGCTATTTTAATTGCTTATAATGGGAGATCCACTTCCTCATATGAAAGTTGAGAAATCACTTAGGAATCACATCATGGGATAAAGGAGGGAAACCAAGGAGGGCCACATTGTTCATATTAAGATGTCAGATTTGGCTCCTGTCTCTGCTCTTTCACCTTTTAGATTCTCCTAGGTTTCCACAGTGTGTCTTCTATACAGAAAATCAAAAACTCGTTTTGTGGTTTCCACAGGGCATAATGTTAAAAACCATTATTCTGGGTTTCACATTTCATCCACCTAACCATAATAGACAAACAAAATGTAAATGCAGTAGACAACAAGCAATATAATTTATACATATTAAATCTCTGGACATCTATGAATATTTACCTATAAATGTATGAAGCTACTAAAAAGTGACAAGAAATATCCTGTAGATACAGTCATACTATGTGTTGGCAGCAATGGAATATATGATTACTGTATCTTTAAACAGTATACTCATGTTCATGTTTGTTTAACACATATTAGAGGATGAAATTCATTGCCAGAAGTTGTGCTGTGTGAGTCTAATGATGTCATCAATTGCAGTCATTTTTCAGAAATAATAAAAAAATCCAGCTCCTCCTTAAATGTTCTGAGGCTCCCTTGGGATCCCTTTTGTGATGAGGAAGCTTTTGAGGGGCGTAGGATGAGGAGGAAGTTTTTAATTTCCCAAAATTGCAGATGCAATAGCAATTCCCAGAAATTAAAAACTTCCTCCCCCCCATCCCACAGCCCCCAGTGGCTCTTCTATGACAAAAGAGATCCCAAGGGAGCCTTGGGACCTTTAGAGGAGAAATTGGAAATGTTTAATTTCTGAAGAAATTATAGCAGCTGATGATGAAACCAACTTTACACATTATAGGTTGCATAGCAGGATCTAGGCCACTTTGGCCTAAAACGAGGAGGCAGGGTTTTAGTTCTCCTTTAGAGTTTCTTCTTTCATTAATACAGTTAAGTTGATTTAGAAAAAGGACAATAGGGAACTTTCATGTTCTTTGCTGCTCAAAAGTTATGGAAGATGAAAACATTCTACATTTTATATTATTAATTCATATAATATAACAGAGTCAAGTCAGACAACAGCCATCTATGGATTCATCCTGAACACTCCATACAGTATATAGATTGTGGTAGGCTCACGGTACAAGACCCCAAGTTCAATGTGTTGTCCTGGTTCGTTTCAGCTATCGGTTCCTATGTGGATTCTAGAATACATCTGTTGTCACCATCTGCATTAACTCCAGGAGGATAGCCAGCCACACTAGTCTACAGCAATCGAGCACACCGAAGTGTCTTGTGGCTCCGCAAAGGTTTAACCCGTTTTAATGGGTTTCTGTGGGCCGTGCCCTAGCCCCTGGCTTCAGATGCCTGGTTTAAAACAATGTTCGGCTCCATCCGGTGTGTGTACAGTATATAGTCTTTGTTCCCGCAGGCCTTTTAAAAAGTGTTCCTGGCTGACAACGAGGTGCGGAGAGAAGGCGTTCCGAAGCCAGGCCGGCCGAGGTGCGCTCCCCTCCCTCCCTCCCTCTATTTCTCTTTCAGCTTTTGGGAGTCTCTCCCTGCCAACTGCTGACGGAGGCCGTCCGCATGAATCATTCTGGACGGCGGCGATCATGTGCTACAAGCCGTCAGGGAGCCGCCGAAGAGGAAGTGCGGCATGTTTTCGTTTCTCTCGGTTCCTCCGCTGGGGAAGATGAAAGGCGCAAACAGAGAGGCGGCGGCCACACGGGGGGGCGACGCTGAGGGGGCCGCTTGTGCCTGAATCCTGGAGCGAGGAGGGGGGAAGAGAGGGACCCGCGAGAATGGAGGCCCTGGAGTGGGACCCGCTGAACAACGACACCTCGCCGCCCACCCTGAGCCCCGCCGTGCCCCCCTACGTGAAGCTGGGGCTGACCGTCGCCTACACGGTTTTTTACTCGCTCCTCTTCGTCTTCGTCTACGTCCAGCTCTGGCTGGTCCTTCGCTACCGGCACAAGCGGTTCAGCTACCAGACGGTCTTCTTGTTCCTCTGCCTCCTCTGGGCGTCTCTGCGGACGGTGCTCTTCTCGTTTTACTTCAGAGACTTTGTCACCGCCAACTCGCTCAGCCCTTTCGCCTTCTGGCTCCTCTACTGCTTCCCCGTCTGCCTCCAGTTTTTCACGCTGACGCTGATGAACCTTTACTTCACGCAGGTAAGCCGCGGGCATCTCTCTCTCTCTCTCCCTGAGGGCTAGCGCCTTGGGATGGCCGTCGTCGCCAGGAGGAGCCCCGGCTCCCAATCTCTGGGAAAGATGCGCTCGCGTTCTGTTTGAATGTGTGTTTGGTTTTATTTCCCAACTTTCTCCCAGGTAAGTGATAAAACCCAGATCTAGCTCAAAGGCACAGTAAGAGACAGTACAGTATTAAACATGTAACCAGAATAAACTGCTGAGTTAAAACGCATCGAAAGCACCTCGGGGGGAAAAAGCGCAGCATCCCCGGGATCAAGCCTGCCCCCAGCAGACAGTTAAGTTGCCAGAAGCAAACCTTGAAGGCAAAGGCAAGACATTTCGTGTACTAACTATCTGGGCTCAGTGGTCGCTGAAGTCAGGGGCGATTACAAAATTGTTCCAGCTATCTTCTCCGTTGTCTTAGGGATGTGGATGACACACACGGAATGAATGGGCTCGCCCTGATCCTCAAAAAGATACCGTAAAAAATGGCTTACTCTGCAAACTAAGCAGACCAGCTGATTTTTGCAACAAGGCAAAAGAAGGGTTTGTGTTTCATGCATGCCTTGTTAGCTGAAATACAGTTGCAGCTCTGAAGTCTCATGCCCAGAAGGAGGGGTCCTGCCTGTTTTAAAAGCCAAATACATTGAAGAGGGGCAAGAAAAGTTTCTGGCCATTCATTGTGAGGCAAGAGTTTCTCTTATCAGAGTGAGCCAAAATAAAATTAGTCCAAATTGGGATAAAAACATTATGAACCGATGCTGCGATTTAGTTTTTGATTTTGTGTGGAAAATGGTGCAAAAATATATGGGTAGGACTCCTTCCTGAGAGCTCGGGAGGTCAAAAAAGGGTTAAAAATGTAGGCACTGAGCCAAAACATCCCTCCTTCTGTTTCATGTCAGCTGGGAACTGGCTAGGTGAGTTTAGGCAAGTAAGGGTTTCCATAGTCTCAGCCTTTTTCCTGGCCTGTTTTGCAGGACTATTACATGAGGTTCCACTTTTACATTATATTCAGATATGAGCAGAAAAGAAAATAATACTGTTATTTTAAATCCAAGCATGAGAAAGTTATGGGTTTGGACTACAGATCCCAGAATCCTCTAGCCCCCTTAGTTATTGACCATGCTTGCTCCAAAAAAGTAAGATGTTCATGTTCTCTCTTGAAGAGGAGGACAGACAATTATGGTTTTTTCTATAATATGTAGCATTTGTGAGACCTATAAAGTGTCACTTTAACTCAAATTTGACTTGATGACATGCAATAGTGACGATGATGTATATGATGCATATGTAGCCTGCATAATTATATTGCAAACTGTCCAGAGAGTGCATTAAGCACTACGGGGCTGTATATAAGCAGCACACCTATTATTATTATTATTATTATTATTATCATCATCATCATCATCATCATCATCATTTCCCATCTCATTTAACAACTTGCAGAATGGCTTAGTCATATTATTGTGACTTGAAGTCTTCTTCGTTATGTTTACTTGGAAGTCCTGTCGATTTCAATGGAATTTACACTGAGAAGACTGATATATTTTCATTGAAAATGCAAAATAGTTTTTAAAAACAAGTCTTTATTACACTAATTATGGTATTGGACCATATTTTGCACATTAAAAAGTGCATTTTAGCAAGTCTGCTAGTCTTTTGTGGGAGGGATATAACCTCATGTGAAAACTAAAATACAGATATGGGAAATTCTCCTCATAAGGAGGGAATTCTATTTTTTTAAAGGAGTAGAGCTAAACAGGAACAACCTTTGGAAGAGACATAATTCCAGAATGCACAGTAAAAAGTCAAGATACCCACACTGCCATCTTGGGAGCAATTTCCATTGAATACAATGGGACTTCTAAGTAAACATACTTAGTATTCCACTAAATGCTAAGGTGGCGAGTGTTGCTCTTAGTGCAGCACATAGCATGGAGTTCCACCAAAAAATAAAAAAATCACTCCTACACTGTCACATCAGGCAAGCAAGAGCAGATGTAAAAAGGGAGGAGAGGAAATCACACTGTCAGAGGTAACTTTGACCCAAATAAAGAAAAGACAGACTGGTTATGCCTCACCATGCATAAAATCCAGCATGTTTAGTGTAAAGGAGTAATTAATTGTTAGCAAAAAGTGGAGCATGGTAGAAGTGCAGAAGAAAAGACCCCTAAAATATCTTAACATGATAGAAGGAACACTCTGTGAAAGCCATTCAAATTATGCCAGGAGAGATTAGCAACTCCCAAATGCTTAAGAATTCTTGGTAGAGTACAGGGCTCAGTCTAGGCTCCTTTGGACCTGGTTGTATGTTAGGATGAATTGCAAGTAGAGGAGCTAATTAGCACACACACCCGTATTATTTTCTGCAGGATGTGAAAAAGAAATATTGTACCACATGAGTGAAGCTCTGTTAAGTTTCAAACGTCAGCAGAGCTGGGAAAGGTTACTTTTTAAAGAGTATAGCAGAAAGAAGCAAGGTTTCTAGGTGGACTGCCCACCACCTCTTTAGATGTGTGTCAGTGGACTGCAGTCTACAAAAGCTTATGTCAAAATGTGGTAGTCTTACAAAAGACTCTTTTTGTTCATTTTCACTACAGCATGGCTATGCCCCTGGAAATTTCTGTTTTGGACACAAATATCATAATTCACCTGACTGTCCTGGTTTGATGGTTTTGGGAGTTGTAGTACAAAGAGATACAATTTCTGAGCTGTGAGCATTATTTGGGGAGATTAAAATGCATGATTTTAGAAGGTTGAAGATACATGTGTTTTGCCAGGGTGTCTTCATTGGTTAAAGGCAATGATGGGATGGACATTTGCTAGAAAGAACACAAGAATGACTTATACAGTGGTGTATCGCTTAATGATTACCTCGTTAAATGACGGATCCGTTTGACGATGAGATTTTTGCCATCGCTTTAGCCATCACAAAACAATGTTTCAGTGGGAAAAAATCGCTTTACGACGATCGGTTCCCTGCTTTGGGAACCAATTCTTCGCATTACGATGATATGAAAACAGCTGATCGGCAGCTCTCAAAATGGCCGCGCGCTGTGCAAAATGGCTCCCCTCTGTTTTCAGGACTTAATTTTCGCAAGACAGGCACCGGAAAATGGCTGCCCTATGGAGGATCTTCGCTGGACGATTAGGTATTTAGCCCATTGGAATGCATTAACCGGTTTTTAATGCGTTTCAGTGGGTTCCCCCCGCTTGACGATGATTTCGCTCTACAGCAATTTCGCTGGAATGGAATAACATCGTCAAGCGAGGCACCACTGTAAAAGGCGGCTGAATTATCTGCATATATATGTCTAACTCTTAACTACACAAACGCACACATACACATAACTTTTATCTTGCTATGACTTTGAAATAGCTATATCTACAAATACTGTAGAGATTCGTGTGCCTGAGAGATTTAGCCTTGCATGACTTCTTAGTAACCATGAATGAATCATTCAGATGTCCAGATGACACCTAAATACTGGTGGAATTGTTGCAGGGTTTTGAATTTCTGGTAAAATTCCCTTTTTACTATGCAGTAGAAATGCAGAGATCTACAAAGGAGAATACTGTAGCTACAAGTTCCCCAGAGTCCATCCCTTTATCAACTGGCACTTTAAGTCTCAATAACTTGCTCTGTGACATTTGTATGAGAAAGAACAAAAAAAATCTTAAATTTCCTTGAAATTGCAGACCTGTATATGCTGCTTTCATTACTGCACACATGTTAGCAACCAACCAAACAGATCATCAGCAGAAAACAAACAACTGCCACCAACAGACTAAAGAGAGGGAAAGGAACACTCGGCAGAGAACTGTAGCAATCTTTGAATTCAAAGACAAGAAGGATCCATTGGTTAGGTGCTGGATAGATGCACAATCACCTCAGCCCAGAAAAGTCCCTCCTAGCCAAACAAACTACAGGCAGCACATGATGTTGCAAATAAAACTCCAACAGGAACTGATATCAAAAAATACAAAACAGGATTACAGTTAAGAAGGTAAAGACTGCAGAGAAATTACGTAACTATGGTGGTGATACTGAAGAAATTGCAGCCTTTAACTATTTTCATTATCTTGGTTCAATCATCAATCCAAATGTCTGCAGACAAGAAATTAGAAGAAGGCTAGAGACTTGGAAGGGCAGCTGTAAAGGAATTAGAAAGGATTATTTAGTGTAAAACTCTGTTGCTGGAGACAAAGGCCAACATCATCCACAAGCGTTCTGAACTGGTGCCATTCTAAAGGTTGTAGTATTGACAGTCCTGCTCATGTCTTGCAAATTCCAGGCCACAGCTTGCTTTATTGACTTAATCCATCTCATAGTCTGCTTTTCCTAATACCTTCAATTTTTCCTAGTATTATTGCGAATTCCAGTAACTCTTCTCATGAAGTATGACAGCTTTAGTTAATTCATGTTCATTTCTTGACTGAGTTCAGGCTTCATTTCTTGCGCCCACATATTTGTCTTTCTCCTAGTCAGCGAAATCTATAAAGTTGAAGATAGGCTATAGAGCTTGAGAAGTTTCTTTTTGAAACTATAGCTCATAGAATTCCCCCTAAACTCCCACTGCCAGCCTGGCCAGTGTAATTCTGGAAATAAAAAAATATATATGCAAAATGGGGGTGTGGGGGGGGATTGGACAGAAATGATGGCCATGGAAAGAAAGAAAAATTCTCCAGAAAGGAGAAAAAATCTGGACTGGAACTCTGAGCAGTGTTTCATACTGCAACATTTTGTTGCAGGGACTTGCTTGCTCAACTCTGTAAATTTCACAGGCTACACTTAGTTGACTTGAGTACAGTACATTTCTGTTTTGATGTTTCAGCCACTACTCTAAAAAAAACCACTTTGACACGATCTTTGAACAACATGCATGGAAATAAATATCAGTAAGAATGCTAGATTCAGAAAAATAATCTTGGAATGTTCTTTTCTATCAACATTTCTGATTTTTGGTTTGTACTGTATCAACCCACCTTTGATGCTCAGAAGACCAGTTTTTCAGATGTAATCTACTCAAAGAAGCAGAAAATCATTGGTTGATTTCATTGATTTTGCAAGCCAGATTTAAGCTACCTTATGTTGACTGTAAATTCTGCATTTCAGTTTGGATTGAAGAGTGTTCTTGAAAAATATGCTTTATCTTTCACATCAGACGATGCTGTGGTAGTAAAAGGCATCAATGTATGTCATTGATATTTTTCAGGTTGTGTTTGCTAAAAGCCCTTTTTAGTCTCTTGAGTGCAGTCATTCAACACATGAATCTATTCTTCAGCCTATGCATGTCTACAAACTCAGAGTCCATGTAGCTTATAGATAAAGCGTCAGATAGAATTTGGGTAGTAGGATTGTCTGATTTTAGGACATTAGCTGAGGTCTCAGGGTATTCTTCTGCCCTAGACCTCCAGCATCTATCTTCCTATTTAATTTCCCCATGTACTTCCTTCTTCCATTTCCAGCACTCCTGATATAAAGCTGAAGCAACAAAGCAGATTCAGGAAGCTTTTTATAGCTATCAGCCCCAATATTTATGGGTGCAACAATCCAAACCCTTCCTTTATGCAGCTCTATGCATGTTTTGACTGGGCTGCTAAGGTTTAGTTTGATCCTCACACTTTTGCAAGCGTGAAAGCAAAATGGAGAAGATTTAGAGGACAGCACTAAATATGATTAATGGGCTTGGAACATGTTATGCATGAGGGAAAGACTAGGAGGAAGTGGAAAAAGATATATTTAGATTTTAGAAAAATTGAGAATATGCAAGTTTTCAAGTCCTTAGAACAAATTATTTTCAGTAGATTATTCCTGAATGCTCATACATTAAGGTATAAATGGATATGTTTTAATGGGTGAATGTTAGTTCTAGCTTTTATTAAATAAATAAATACTAATCATCTATAGATAATGGCTTTACTTTTCAATTTATGTTACATGTCAAGAAGTCACATCCATCGTGCAGTAAATCCTATGGGATCACACTGCTGTAACTGTGCATCATAGCAGAAACAACAGAATCTAATGACCCCTTACAGACTAACAAGTTTTATTTGACACAAGCCTTTGTAGATTGCAGCCCAATTCATCAGATACAGCAGAGGATTTTCCCCTCCAAAAGACTAACACAGCTGTCAGACTCACCCTCTTAAACTTGTCCAAGGTGCATGCCTGTATAGGGAGGAAGTGATTGTTAACTTTCAAGGTACATGTCTGTACAGTATAGGGAGGAAGTGATTGTTAACTTTCAGCACGTGGTTCTGTGCAAAACTGTTAGCTGCTGGTTAAATGGCTTTGGGTTGTTGTGTTTAGCATATTCTACATAGGATTATGCTTCTCATTAGAGTGGAAATTCACAGCTCTATTATTAGCTCAGGAGTTTATACCCGATGCCTAGGTAGCATACTGCACATACTTTAGCTGTACACTAAATCAGACCATTGATTTATCTAGCTCAGATAGTTTCTGATTTCTGTTTAGCTAAAAAACTCACCATTTGCCAGTTACACTCTCTCACTCTAACTGTCTCATAGAGTGTTGTGAGGATGAAGAAGAGAGGACAAGAGCTATGTACACTGCCTAGAACTCAGTGGAGGGAAAGTAGTGGTATAAAGGTGACCAACAAATAATAATATATACTGACTGGAAGATTCTTGGAATTATAATAGAAAAAACTAACTTTGCCGAATTCCTACTTCCAATGGCAGTGGTATTCTATTACTAGGCATGGTAGGTGACATATCTATGCTTTTGTCATTCCAGCGAAGGAACTATATTTCTTTATAATTCTCCAAGGACTTTGGTTGAAAGCAGGGACTATGTGGCCCTCCAGATGTTGCTGGAGTTCCTCTCCCATCAGTGTCAGCCAGCATTGCCTATAGTGAGGGATTATGGGATCTGAAGTCCAACAACATCAAGACGTCTTCTTTTTTCCTTTAATGGTTGATTGATGGTTGCTGGTTTTGTAATCTTGTGTTCCTCTGCTTTTATATACTACTGCATTTTTACATGAATTGTTTATAGAACTGACTGGCTGCAACTCATTATCTATTAAGTGAAAAACTTGTGCTTTCTGCCATTTAATTTGTGAGGTAATCCCAAGAAACTGGCAATTTGCAAATGAACACTACAGAGAGACTTTTGTCCAGAAGTAATGTAGTGGTTCTACTGAGATTTAAGTCGGACAAGACTAATTTATGTTGCCTCATCATTTGTCTGAAGGATAACAAATTTGACAGGCATACAAGGGAATCTTATTTATATCTGTACTTTTTACTCCAAGGATAACATGCACCTTCATTCTGTTACAGGTGATTTTCAAAGCTAAATCAAAATATTCACCAGAACTTCTAAAATACAGGTAAGAAGCCCATTTCCATCTGTAAGTACAGAGAAAATAAAGAGCAACTGAAGTTGGGAGTATTGGAAAGAGAGAGCGAGAGAGCGCGAGCAATCAATTGTTAGGCAATATTAATAATGAAGATGGGGATATTTGTATTCATATATGAATATGCATATCCCCGCACAGGTGGCGTTAATGAGGGTCCAGCCTCATGGTGCCAGATGGTCCACTCATCAATCTGCCACGAATGTGGACAACGCGATTCTACCAATGGCTCCGCAGCACGTGATCCGCTTGCCACTCCTTGCAGGAGGCAGGAGGACAAGTCTTGCTGCAAGGTCGAAGAGTGTTGAGGGGATTGCGCGCTGTGGAGCCATTTTTAGAATCATGCCGTCCATTGGCAGATTGGTGAGTGGACCATCCAGCCCCATGGGGCCGGACTCCAGTTAATGCCACCTGTGAGGGGATATTTGTATATGAATACAAATACCCCCATCTCTAATTAATATACTTCAGTAAAACTGAGTTCACCTAATGAAGGAAGAAGTCATTATTTTGAAACATTTTGTAGATGAATTTAGCAATTTTTAGACATACAAGGGAATCTTGTATATGGGTTATTGTGGTTTTAAACCAGTAGTTTTCTTAAGGTTTGTTCTGTGCAAGTGGCAGTGCTGATTTTAGGAAAAGAGGGGACTTTAAATTTGAGAGTCCTGAACCCCCAGCATGTCATACTGTGAACAGCACTGATTTAGGACTGAACTGGGAGTCCAGACACCTACTCTGTGTGGAATTCGGGTTGCAGGAGACCCCTTGTCTGGCTGCAAAACATCTTCAGCCATCTCTGGCTCCAGTTCCATTATTTTGTCCCAAACTAGTGTTGAACTTGCTGTGATAAGAAAAGGAGTGTTTTTGTGTATAGAAATGGTACTGTGGGTGATTTGTGGAATAAAGAAAGAGTAACTCGTGGTGCAGTGGTTAAAACGCTGTACTGCAGCTAAAACTGTGCTCACGACCTGGGGTTCAAATCCCAGGTAGCCAGCTCAAGGTTGACTCAGCCTTCCATCCTTCTGAGGTCGGTA